TTTTTTTTTTGAGATGGAGTCTCACTCTGTCACCCAGGCTGGAGTGTAATGGTATGGTCTTGGCTCACTGCAACCTCCGCCTCCCAGGTTCAAGCTATTCTCCTGCCTCAGCCTCCTGAGTAGCTGGGGCTGCAGGCACAGACCACTACACCTGGCTAATTTTTGTATTTTTAGTAAAGACGGGGTTTCATTGCGTTGGCCAGGCTGGTCTCGAACTCATGACCTCGTGATCCGCCACCCCCACCCCCACCCCCCGCAGCCTTCCATAGTGCTGGGATTACAGATAGAATCTGTACAGAGGTGTTTTTTTTTTTTTTTTGGATGGAGTCCCGCTGTATCACCCAGGCTGGAGTGCAATGGCACGATCTTGGCTCGCTGCACCCTCCAGCTCCTGGGTTCAAGCAATTCTCCTGCCTCAACCTCCCAAGTAGCTGGGACTACAGGCACACACCACCACACCTGGTGATATTTTGTATTTTTAGTAGAGATGGAGTTTCGCCGTGTCGGCCAGGCTGGTCTCGAACTCCTGACCCCAGATAACCCACCTGCCTCGGCCTCCCAAAGTACTGGGATTATCGACTTGAGCCACCGCACCTGGCCTACAGAGGTTTTAAGTTAAAATGAGGTCTTAGGGTGGACCCTACTCCTCTATGACTGGTGTCCTCATAAGAGAAAATTCAGACATAGACACATACAGAGGCAAGATGATGTGGAGACAGCCATCTACAAGCGGAGGGGAGAGAATAGAACCTAGAACAGATCCTTTTCTCATGGCCCCCAAAAGGAATCAACCGTCTCAACACCTTGATCTCAGACTTCTAGCCCCCAGAACTGTGAGAAAATAAATTTCTGTTGTTTAAGCTACCCAATCTGTGGTTCTTTGTTATGGCAACCTGTCTTAGTCTGTTGTGTGATGCTATAACAGAATATCTGAGACTGGATAATTTATAAAGAACAGAAATTTATTCTCTCATAGTTCCAAAAGCATCCAAGTCTTCTGATTGCATCCTCACATGGCAGAAGGCACAAGAACAAGAGAGAATGAACTCTGTGTCTTCACACGGCAGAAAAGCAGAAGGGCAAGAGAGAGTGAACCCACTCCCACAAGCCCTCTTCATAGTGATATTAATCCATTCATGAGGGCGGAGTCTTCATGATCTAAAAACATCTTAAAGGACCCCACCTTCTAGGCCGAGCATGGTGTTTCACACCTGTAGTCCTAACACTTCGGGAGGCCGAGGCAGTCAGAACACCTGAGATCAGGAGTTCAAGACCAGCCTGGCCAACTTAGTGAAACCCTGTCTGTACTAAAAATACAAAAATTAGCCAAGCGTGGTGGTGCATACCTGTAATCCCAGCTACTCAGGAGGCTGAGGTGGAAGCATCATCTGAGCCTGGGAGGGAGAGGCTGCAGTGAACCATGATTGCACTGCTGCACTCCAGCCTAGATGACAGAGTGAGACACTGTCTCTAAAACACAACAAAAAATTAAAATGTGGTAAAATATACATAAACTTTACTACTTGGCTATTTTAAAGTATATAGTTGTGGCATTACGTACATTCACAGTGTTGTGTAACCGTGACCACTATCCATTTCCAGAACTTCTTCATCATCACCAACAGAAACTGTACCCATTGAATGATAGCTCCCCATTCCCCCTGGTAACTTCAGTTTTACTTTCTGTCTGTGAATTTGCCTCTTTTAATTACCTCGTATAAGTTGAGACACACATTATTTGTCCTTTGATGTGTGGCTTACTTCACTTAGCATATTGTTTTTAAGGTTCAGCCATGTTGTAGCACATGTTCAGAATTTCAGTCTTTTTTTAAGG